ACCCACGGAGCCTAGCAAACTTCGTGTGAGCCCTTACGACCGGCCTCAGAGCTCTTCTACCCGGGTTCGAGTCCTGCAGGTTTATTTTCCCGTCGCCGAAACCCTTTGCGACGTACCCTCGTGCCCTGCAGGTTCAAGTTTTGTTTTCTTCTTTTCCTGTAACCGCAACTTAAGCAAGCTTTCCAGCCTGAGCCACTGCCATCTCGGTGTAAGTAAACAATCTTTAAAACTACCGCTACGCGTTTGTGCCTAATTCCAGCTCGACGGCCTTCCCTCTCCGACCCGGCGTGCCCGGGCTGCTGGCCACAGCCCGCGTGCAGCACGAAAAAGGGCTTGGGTCGCTCCCAGCCCGCACAGTGGCCAGTCCAACAAGTCTCTCTTGCAGCACAGAAGAACAAAGGTATGTCTTTATCAATTTTAGCTTTGAGAAGCTATGCTCTCCACTAGCAACAAAAACTGGGAGAGTCAAGAGAATGCGGAGAGCAATGAAGATGTTGGGAAAACTCTCTGTCAGTTTATGTTTAATAATAAACTTCAGTACATCTTGAGGTGTAAGGTGGAAGTCATCATGAAATAGCCTGCAGTTCACTGCACAAATCTGCAGCATCAATATCTTTAGAATCTCCATGCTGTAATGCCGACTCTAGCTTCAAGCAATGTTCCGTTATCTGTTTTGAGATCTTATTTTGTAAACTGTGGATATTGTAGAGGAAACCAATGACTGAATCAAGCTGCTGTGTTTGTTCAAATCGCTCTTTAACCAATTGTATTGCAGTATCAAGGACTGCAAAATAGAAGTTTATTTTGAATTTTTGTTTTGGGTCCTGAACTGACTCATCTTTTGCTTCATATGTGAACTGCTGCTTCTTTCTTCGAATGCATACTGGTTCTGGTTGAAAGTTTGTTGGTAGCTGTAACTCTTCAGCAAGCTCACGAGCATCTACCAGTGTCTTTTCAAACTCTTTATCACTCCTGAATTCCTCCAGAAACTTTTTGGTTTGTTTCAGTTGTTGGAACTTGGAAAGGCCATTTGCAAGAGCTTCTGCATCAGCACATGTGGTATTGCCAGATGATCCTGTGAGGGTAGTATCATCAGAAAATTCAATTAGTACATCATAGATATTGCCAAGCTCATAGCAAAGAGACTTCAAGGCATCAATTCAACTTTCCCATCTTGTTTCACTCAGTGGTTTCACAGTTAGAGAAGGCACATGGCGACTAAGAATTTCCCAACGGCGTGTTGAACCTGAGAAAAACATATAAATGCATTGCATTAGGTGAAAGAAACTACTTGCCCCAAACAACATCTGGCAGCATCATTGACAACCAAATTCAGAGTATGTGTACTGCAAGGAACAAAAAAGGCATGAGGATTAATTTTGATTATTCTCCTTTGTACACCATTGTCTACCCTTCATATTACTGCCATTGTCATAGCGTTGGTCACGTAAGTTCTCAACAGATAATGGCATTCCTTCAAGCTCTTGTAGAATGCTTTGCGTCATAAAAGCACCAGTCGCTTCCTTCAATGGTACAACCCCCCCCAAGTGTTCCTTTATGATCACTTCAGCATTATGCACATCTGCAGATTTTGCCATATCTACAAAGTGAATGATTATTGTCATCTGTGCAACATGACTTACATCTTGTGTACAGTCCAGAATTATTGAAAAGTATTTTGCAGACTGGGTAGCTTCTAAGATTTTCTCTTTAACGGCATTTGCTAGGCGGTGAATCAGTTCATTCTGCAGCCTTTTCCCAAGGTAATGAACATGTTTCATGGTCACTTATTTTACGCAGATGCTCCTTCATGACTGGATCAAACAAAGCCAGGTATTCAATACATTTTAAGAAGTTTCCATTACCAGCACTGTATAATTTTTCATTTGTCCCACAGAATGCCAGATTTTGCCCACCGAGAACTCTCACTAAAGCAATCAGTTGCTCCAATATTTGCTGCCAGTATTCTTCTTCTCACTTGATCCCTCGTGAATTTTCTTCATCAATAGTTTTGTAATGATGTGCAGAGTATTTTCTTTTATTTTCATCTTTAGGGACGTGAAATTCCTGAACTTGTTCAGGTCCATGTTCCACCAGAATTTGTCACCCACAGCCATCACATCTAGGTCATGCAGCAGGGTCACCATACTGTAACTTGTTTGCACCTTCCTCATCTTTCACATATGTACCTTCTGCTCCCTTATTATCTTTATGTATCTCAGCTTCAGCACGTGTGTCTGTAGATGAATATATTTTCTTGATCTCAAGGTCAATTTGATGCAGTGAGCTGCCTTTATCTTGAAGTAAGCTGCCTTAATCTTGACGTGAGTTGCCTTCATCTTGATGTTGTGAACTGCTTCCATCTTCTTGTGGGTAAAACTGAAAGATATTTCAGGAAGCAACCCTCTTGCTTTGCTTGTTCTTTTGCCTGTTCAGCTTTTCATTTACGATACTGAGTTCCAGATGTTTTTTTCCATCTGCCATGGTACCATTCCCCTGAAACAGTTTTGAACTGTTTCAAATAAATGATCAAGATAGAAAACAATCAATCTAAGTACAATTTCAAAGAAAATGCTGATATGTTCTGTACACAGTCATAAAACCGTTTCCTTACACAACAATGATATAGGTGTTATATAACAAACTAATTAAATAATATCTCTTGAGCTTGCTAGCAATTAATTAGCACTCATTCCGCATTACCACACATATTCTAAATGCCTACGTATCTCTCACATGAGTATCCAACCATAGTACATACACAAAGGCTTACCCCCAGCTTGACTTACTCTAAAAAAATCACTTGCATTCTTACAAAAATTAAATGTAACGATTCAGCAACCCTACTCCATTTCTAGACATCATAACATTGAGAATATTAAACAGGACCACTCACGTGTACCTATGATAATAACTACATTTGTGCATCAGTTCTACATATAAATGTAATGAGATCAACAAAATCAAACCAAGAAATTCCTACCTTGAAGCCTGTTTTCCGAATTATGGGCACAATACATATCTGTACCCGGAGTTGGTGTATTTTGGTCATCTTACTCTTGACAAAATAAATGCAACTAACAAAATCTAGGGTGTTTTAGATTTTAAAAAGGGTGATTAGAAGGGAGAAGGAAGGTAAGAAATCAGTGTCCCGAGCTGTAAGATGATATAGGAGTAGGGGCTCCTTTTTTAGGATGACGTTGCCAGCGGTATGCTCTTGTCTTAAGCAACGTTCCCGCTAAGGAGTAGCGGTCCGCGAGCACACTGCCGCAGTCCGGCATGGGGCCCGGAGGCCGGGGGGGAAGGCTGGGGGCCAGGGGCTGGAGCCGAGAGGCTGGGGCCGGGGGCTGGAGCGGGCTACGCCGGCTCCAGGGAAGTTCTCCGCTCCCCCGCATCAGGGCCGCGGTGGAGCACTTCCCCGGAGCTGGCGGAGCCCGTGCCAGCCGCCCGCCCCCGTCTCCCTCCCCGCCCTGCCTCGGCTCTCGCCGGCCCTGACGCCAGGTGCCTCCTTGCTCCCTGAGGCGATGCGGGGGAGCGGAGCAGTTCCCCGGAGCCCGCAGAGCCTCGCTCGGGGCAGGCAGCGGCTCCTCCCCGAGGAGGGGAGGGGAGGGGAGGCAAGGCAGGGATGGAGGCTGGCGCGGGCTCTGCCAGCTCTGGGGAAGTGCTCCGCAACCCAGGCCTGATGCGGGGGAGCGGAGCGGAGCACTTCCCGGGAGCTGACCTGCAGCTCCTCTCCTGGTGCGGGGCCTTGAAAAGGCTGTGTGCGGCCACACGTTTAGTTGCGTGCTGCCGCGCACGCGCACACGCACACGCGCACCTTAGAGGGAACCTTGGTCTCAAGTCCGTTTGAGAGTTGAAAAGGTAGGAGTTGCAATTCTATTGCACTTTCCTCTGAGATCTTTCTCCTCTTACTGAACCAAAAGTCTGAGACCAAGGTGGAGCCGTAGCTGACCAGGACTGTTATTTAGAATGATGTTCCTGTTATTTTGTTCTGCATATAGTTGTGGTACCTCCCCCCCCCAAAGTTTGGTGCCCTAGGCGACCGCCTAGTTTGCCTAATGGTTGGACGGACCCAGAGCATGTCAGCGAGGAGCTGCACTGTGACAGAAGTGGGACTTGGTGCAGAAGAGCCTCCAGTAGCAGTTGTGTTTACACGGGTCACTCCAGGCACTCAAGTGTGCGGGGCCTGCTGCAGTCCATTGGAAACAGTCAAGGCCCCACGGGCAACAGGTGAGTACATGTTTCTGCCTTTGACACACTCAGAGGACAGAACACACCAGCAGTTGCCTAGGCTTCTGCCTGGACGCACATCATCCACGTGCCCTGCTCCAATGGTAACACCTCCAGTGACTGCCATTGTTGCCTCTAACTGCTGGTAGCACCCTGCAAAAGCAACTGCCTGTCCCTTGGCTTGCAGGACACTGCAGGCTGTCGTGAACCAGAGCAGCCGCCGGCAGCCGTCTGACTCACACCGGAGTGTTTCGATTTAGAGCTGGGCAGGCGGGTAGTGATGGCTGGAGTGGAATTAACCAGGCACAGACACGTGTAGCTTACAGGAGTTTGTTTACTTACGTCGCCTAGATAGTGATGATGACGCAGGCGAGCCTTTGTTCCGTTACAGCTTCGGTTACAGAGTTGAGTACACGCATTCAGGTTACAGCAAAGTAATGACGGACGTGGCGCCGGAACGAGCTGTCGGGCTAGCAAGACGTTTCTGCATCAATATTTTACGATGACAGGGAGTTTATTGGGAATTGATCAAGTTCCCAAATCTCTCTGGTGACGAACACAGGTGTCTCTCCTCTGAAATCCCCAGAGTTCTCCGCCTCGGGTGGAAACCGTTAAACTATTTATAGGCAGAGGTGTTTGATAGAGATACCCAATAGTGAACCGTTCTGTGGAATCTTTAATTTTCTGGCAAGCAACGGTTCTTTGTGTTCTCAGGTTGCTATCAGGTTACAAGGTAGTGGGTTAGGTTTCTAGCATGTTACGTGTAAGGTACCTACGCTAATTTTTTTGACCAATTATATACAGTTTCCCCTAGCATTTTATTTCAGCTGACCAATTATCTACAGTTCTCCGCCAGCGTTTTGTTTCAAGGAATTTTTTGGCAGGGATGTCTTTTAACCCTTAGTCATTAAAATGAGGATGATCTGAATGATGTCTCTTGCCAGTGACATGGGCACAATCTAATTGGGTTGTGACACAGGCCAGGACTGCACAGGCTTTGTATTCTCCCTCCCTGTGCCTTGATGAGGTATTAAGCACTTTGATCTCTGCAAGCTTCAGCAGTTTTAGCCACCCAGCCCCTGTGACCCTGTCCTACCTGACAGCCTCTGTCAGCCTCTCCTAGTCTCATCCTTCCTCTGAAGTCTCCCATGAAATCCCTTGTTGTGTCCCAGTCGGCAGCAGGGCTCCACACTGTTTCCCAGCTTCATTTAGAGAGGTGTAGGAGAGTGGCAGAGAATGTTTCCTTGCCCCCCTGCTTTTTTCTTCTCTCAGCTTTAAGCTGTTTATTTGTTTCAGTTCCCATTTTCCCTTCTTCTCTGCCTGCGCTGCCATTGTCTCCTGTATATGCTGGACGTTGGTGTAAGCCAGGGGTGGGCAACTATTTGGGCATGCAGGCTGCACAGGCAGTTCTGGGGAGTTGCAGTGGGGCAGTTAATGCTGCCCCCTCCTCCCTCCCCCCCAGCCACACCGAGCCCATGGATGCTACTGCTTATAGAATCGTAGAACTGGAAGGGACCTGTACGATCATCAAGTCCAGTTCACTGCCATGGGCAGGATGTATTGGGCTCAGATAAGCTCAGCAAGGTGCCTGTCCAGCCTTGTCTTGAACACATCCAAGGAGGGCGACTGCACCACCTCTGCTGGGAGTGTTTCAGATTCTGGTGAGCCTTACAGAGAAGAAGTTTTTCCTTATATCAACCCTGAATTTACCCTCTGTTAGTTTATGTCCATTGGTCCTTGTCCTCCCTTGACATGCCCTCCTGAAGAGTTGATCTCCTAGTTCTTGGTGTTCCCCCCTGAGGTACTTGTAGATAGCTATCAAGTCACCTCTCAGCCTTGTCTTCCTCAGGCTGAACAGGCCTAGTTCCCAGAGTCTCTCCTCAAAGGGCCTACCCTCCATGCCCTTAATCAAATGGGTGGCCCGTCTTTGTATCCTCTCAAGCTTATCCATGTCCTTCTTGAAGTGCAGTGCCCAGAACAGGGCACAGTACTCCAGCTGAGGCCTCACCAATGTTGAATAGAGAAGGAGGAGTACCTCCCTGGATCTATTGGCTACACAGCGGCTGATGAACACCAGCATTTTATTGGCCCTTTTGGCAGCCTCATCATGCTGTTGGGTCATATTCATTTTCCAGTTGATCGTGATCCCCAAGTCTCGTTCAGATCTTGTGCCAGCCAGTAGGCCACCACCCACTGTATAGTTGTGGTGAGGGTTCTTCCTACCCAAGTGAAGGGCCTTGCATTTCTCCCTGTTAAACCTCATCTGATTTCATTCTGCCCATAAGTCCAGTCTGTCAAGGTCCTCCTGGATCTTTGCCCTATCCTCTTGTGTGCCTGAGTTTCTCCACAGCTTGGTATCATCTGAGAACATAATCAGTGCACTTTCTATCCCTTCATCCAAATCATCAATGAATATATTGAATAGCATGGGTCCAAGCACCAATCCCTGGGGAACCCCACTGGAGACAGCTCCAGGATGAGGCCATCTCATCGATCACTACTCTCTGGGAGCGGCCTCTGAGCTAGTTGTCCACCCACCTCACTGTAGACTGGTCCAGCCTAGTACTCTCCAGTTTGTTAGAGAGAGTCCCATAGGAGACAGAATCAAAGGCTTTGCTGAAGTCTAAGTAGATGACATCAACCTTGTGTCCCTCGTCCAGATGATTAGTGACCTGGTGGTCATGTGACCTGGTGAATCATGTGATCACCAGGTCATGATTAGTGACCTGGTGATCAAGGGTCATCAGGCATGATCTGCCCTCAGCAAAGCCGTGCTGGTTGCTGCCATTACCAGCTTGTAGTTGATGGTCTCCTTAACCAACTTTTCAAAGATTTTACCTGGGACCAAAGTCACACTGACTGGCCTTAGTTTGCAGGGTCATCCCTCTTCCCTTCCTTAAAGATGGGCACTGCACTGGCCCTCTTCCAGTCATCTGGGACCACTCCCAAGCTCCACAGCTCTTCAAATAGCTTGGCCAGTGGTGCTGCTATAAGTTCGGCCAGTTCTTTCAGGACTCTTGGGTGCAGATCATCTGCTCCAGAAGACTTGAAGATGTCCAAGCATTGTAAAAGATCCTTCACCTGTTCTGGGCTGATTTCATGTTGGTTGTTACCTTCCCCTTGTTCCCTGGGCCTCTGGTCAGATAAGCAGTGCCCATTGGGTTTTAGGAATACTGACGCAAAGTATGTATTCAGGAGTTCTGCCTTTTCAAAGGCATCGACTATGGGCTGCCCCTGGGTATTCAGCGGAGGTTCCACAGTGGAGCCCAATTTTTTCTTGCTCCCTATGTACCTGTAGAAGGACTTTTTGTTGTCCTTTATACCGGTTGCCAGTTTGATCTCCAGGCCTGCCTTAGCTTTCCGTGTCTCGTATCTGCAGGCCCTGGTGATACGGGTGTATTCCTCCCTGGTTGCTGAGCCCTTTCTCCATTGCTTATGCACTTCTTTTTTCTTTTTCAATAGCTCCCTAACATTGCTGCTGAGCCAAGCAGGTCTCCTGGCTCTCTTCCTGCTTTTTGCCTCTGTAGGGAAGGTCTGTTTTTGAGCCATGAAAATTGTCTCCTTAAGGAAACATTGTTCCTGCACATCCAAATGTCTGTTGTAGAGGGTCTCTCCAATGAAGCTCTTGAGTTTGCCAAAAGTTGCCTTCTTGAAATTCAGGACTTCTGTTCTGGTGACTAACTGCCCAGTCTTATGGTGGATGGTAAACTGTATCAGCTCATGGTCACTGTTGCCCAGAGTACCACCAATCCTCAGGTCACCTATGATGTCCTTCCTGCCACAGCCAACAGTAAACACCCCCAGCTCCAACCTGGCCTGCGCTGCGCCTGCTCTGGACTCACCCCAGCCAAAGTGGACCAGCCAGAACACACATGCACAGCTCCGACCTTGGCCCATGTTACTCCTGCTCCAGACCACTCATACTGAGCAGTGACAGCGGTCAGGCAGAAGCTGCTGCTTGGCACAGGGAATAATGACTCCTCCCTGTCACAATGGCTGGGCTGTTCTAGCTGCAACCACCTGGAGCCTGAGCCCAGGCTGACCTGCTGTGCCTCTCTGCCACTGTCACTGCCATGTCTGGGCTGTTTGCTGGGGCAGGGGTGGCAGAGCAGCTGGGGGGGTGGGCTGTGAGTGTGCAGCAAAAAGGGCACAGCAGCAGTGCAGGGGAGGAGTAGCTTTTTCTTTGCACTGAGCAATAGCTTCTGTTTGGCCACTGCCACTGGTGCCATTGCTCAGTGTGGGTGGGAGAGTCTGAAGCAGTCAGGGCTGTGCATGCGGGTTTTGGATGTTCTGTTCCACTGGACTGAGTCTAGAGCTGGTGCGGGGTGGGACGGGATCAGGGCTGTGTGCACAGGTTCCTGCCAATACCACAGGGCTGGGGCCAGTGACGGTGGCATCCAAAAGGAGCCACCGCTGTCTGAGCTGCCTAGAAAGGTAGTCCAGCGTGCTCAGGGACAGCAGGGTATACCACAGGACGGACAGCACCAGGGCCAGGTGGGAATGAGGGACCCACCATTGGCTGAGCAACATCCCTCCACATGCTGACCTGGGGGCAGGCTTTGGCCCGCCCCTGGTGTAAGCAGATACATGTGTTACACCCAGGATGTTTCTGGAGAAGTACAAGAGAAGCA